TGTGTCAGGGCCTTACCATGTAATATTATCCTTTATTTACTTCTTTTTAACTGGAATATAGGGTTCATATCATGTTTTCCTTTCTTCAGGAATTTCTTACAGTTGAGGAAAGGAAATTGAAGGATGTGGTGGATTTCTGGTCTAGGATGAAGAAAGGCAAGCATAAGTTGGACACTTGGGATCTTACCTATCTGGAATACAAAATCTTCTCTTGGTCTCTAGAGGATGTCCTCAACAAGGACCTGCTCAAGGAAAAGGTTGGGATTTCTTAACCATTGCCTTAGACAAGCCATTCTATTCTACTTACAAAAAATTATTGTCATTTTTTAAACATATTGCATTCTAAAGTTGCCCTGAGTCAAAGTTTGTCAAGTTTGACCAAATTTATAGGAAACAAATATCAACAAGTATGGAATCAGTAGGTATATTTTGAAAATATATTTCATGATGGATCTAACGATAATAATTTGCTGCCATGATTGTTGGTACTTTTCTTATAAAATTGGTCCAATTTTAAAAAGATTGAATTAGGACAGCTCCAGAATGCAACCTAGTCTGGAGTGAAGGGGGTACAATTTTTTTGTGGAGGGAGGGGGGCATGATTTACTGATTTAAAAAAAATATTTTTATCTGATAATTAATTGTTTGGAAACCTCTTTGGACATGACAATGAACAATATTTCACTCGTATGAAAATTGATCTTTGCACGCTGCTCAAAAGCATGAAAAACATAAGCTTCATGTTTTGACCTTTTAAAGGCATGATAAATAAAACCATATCATTGGCATGTTGTAGGATGGCTAAGTCACGATAATGCATTGCGGTGGCAAGGCTCCAGCGAGCCCGTTCTTTCAAACAGTATTTGCATACATAAAAGATCTTTAAAAAAATGCACATGTGTATATATATGTGCAGTATGTACGGAATTTCATCAGCATATATTTTCATACGTGGCTTACAAAAAAGCAAAGTACACAGTTCAAAATGGACTTTTATCTGGATTAGAATTTTGAATATTTTTTGTAGCCTACAAATAATTTATTGGTATTAAACTTCACAAATACCCAGAGAACATGTATACGTCTTGGCAGACTTTAAAAATAGTTAAAATTACATTTTTGATTTTTTATAAAATATAGGGCTCTTAAACCTTCTCTATTATTAAAAGGGAGTCTGTCGTTTGGTTTGGTTTCATCCTGCCACCCAAAATTACGACCTGCATTAACTCAATCAAAGTAAATCAATTCTTATCAAAACCTCAACTAAATCAAAATTGTTCTTTCCTTCTACTGCCCATACCTAAATCAAATCAAATCAAACAAAACGTCGACTAGATCAAAACTTTCCATATCTTTCCCTACACATACTCAATCAAATCTTACGAAAATATAGAATCTGATGAGTGTAAGGTATAAGACACGATTGATGTTGAACCACTAGAATATCTACGCCCTAGTTATATGTATGCCCTAGTTGCAACTCACGAACAATTATCTAGTCACCGATAAGATATGATACGTGTGCCCATTAGTTTGTCCATCGATAGTGAACATAACCCCTAAAAGAGGACCAATATCATCATTAAATTTTATTTCTAAGCAACATCGTTAACAAAAGTTTTGTCTAATGTGTGGGTTGTGTGAACCGCCACACTCTCTTCCTCAACTCTATCGGCGAACGTCGTCGAGGCCAGATCCGACTCAGTCATGGGCCGGACCGGGGCTCTAGCTGCCAATTGCATCCAGGCAACATATCAGGCGGTGCCGACTGCTAGGAGCTGCCATGGCCCGCACGGCCATGACGTCTTTCTCTTTCGGTGATTTCTCCTTTGGCTAGCTAGTTACGTGTCAGCAAGCGGCTATGCAGCTAACATAACGCTTACATTTCATCCGGTAAAATCCAATAACCTAGAGTAGCATTCGGTGTGATAGCCATGGTCTGATGTTGGTTGGATCAGTGACTCCTTGAAAGTGTTGCCTTGAACCGTTGCTACATTTTGACAGCTCACATGTCGAACGATGAGTGAATTGGTCCAAAGGCCATGGCAGAGCTCCACTAGGGCGAACCTTGGCTGTCGCCTGCCCTGCAAAAAAAAGGAAAAAGAAGTACTCCCTCTGTAAACTAATATAAAAGTGTTCAGATAACTAAAGTAGTGATCTAAACGTTCTTATATTAGTTTACGGAGGGAGTAACTAATTAGACCCATCTAAGGCCCTTTTGTTTTATATCCTTCTACCTGGCAGCCCATAACTAATGAGGCCCATCTCAGGCCCATTTATTTTATATCTTTCTATTTGGGAGAGGAACGCTAAAAAATAAAAATAAAAACCTAGGACTGGGTCACTGGGAGGGGAGCAGCCAGCAGCGACCGACCAGGCGACCGGCCAGCCAGCCAGCAGCTCTGTTTTTCTCCTCTCGCTTCTCGCGCGGACTTGGCGTTGGCGATCTGCGTGGGCGGGCGGGGGGGAGATGCTTTCCGGCGTGGGGGATGACGGGCCACCGGCCACGGGCGCTCTAAACCCAGATCTTCCCAGAGGCCACAACGCCGCGTCGCGGCTGCTCAGGCAGCAGGCGACGCCGGCGCCGCGCGCGGTGAACCAGTGAGCAGCAAGAGCAGTCTTACCCTCCCTCTCCCCGTCTGTAATTTTATCCGATTCAATTCCTAGTTTCCTGCCTAATTAGTCGGGAAAAGTTCTAATTAGGTCAGGGATTTTGCGCTGAATAAATTTGTTGTTTACACAGCCTAGAGAATCGAACCTAGCGATGGTTAAGAGGAACACTGTCGATTCATTTTACAAAAGAAATAGAGTTGATTGTGAAGCTAATGAACCAACATTGACCAAATGCTCAGCCTCCCCTCTCTTGTTACCAGCAGTGGGCAACAAGAGGGATGCAGATTGCAGAAAGAAACCAGCCGAGGATGAAAGTCTCAGTTGCAGGCTTGCAGCTGTTAACGTGGCTTACGTCACAATTTTGTTCTTTTAATGTAGCCGTACGATTTGGTATTTATTCGAAAGAAAAAAAATGTCGGCAGCTTCACCCCTCCTGAGATTTCTTTCTAGCACTCATGGTGACTTGTTTGTTACCTTTAATTCTTAACTGTTGGTACAAGAATAAGAAATGTAGCCAGCTTCATTTCCAGTCACATCTTAGCAGCATAGCGGCAGGTATATAAAAAAATGATTCGATATTCGTGCAATGATAATGGCTAAACCGCTCCATCATCCCAGGTGAAGAAAATACCCAAGACATTCTCGTCGCTGGAGCATTACTTGGATTCGTTTGCTGACCCATTGGTCGAGGAAGTACACGCGGACTTCCTCTCTTCGTTCGAGGGCTACCACCAAGCACCATTCGTTCAGGTAACCAGGGTTCAGAAGCTCGACCATGGCGAGAAGTCCCAGGCCTTCTTCTTCTGTTTCCTGGCTGCCCGGAGAACATCGTACGCTCCCGTCAAGGACGACATCGTCGCCGTCTCCTCCTCGAGGAAGGGCAAGCACCCGTTATCCTACGTCCTGGGTTCGGTTTGCAAGAGCTGGGAAGACGACGAGGATTTCCCTGCTGACTGCTTCATCGTCAGGCTGTCGATGGCTGTTCCGCCCGTGGATGTCGACGCTGGAACGAATAGGCCCATGGCGCCACTGTTCGTCTCGTTCCTCATGAACACCAAGACGTACAATCGCATCTGGACGTGCCTTCAGCTGGGGAAGACGAGCGGTCGGAAGAGAGTGAGCGATGCCGGTCTCGTGGATGCCGTCTGGAGATACAGCGCCTCAAAGGTATGCTCTTCTTATGTAGTCTGCTATGATTCTTCATCACTGTCTTACCTTACCTGTAAATTTCTCTTTTCGACATGAAGGCAGTGGAAAATGACTCCCGGTCCCAGTTATCTCACCGGTCCCGTGCCACCGACGACCTTGGGCTCGACAGGTTCAGGCTTAACGAGTCGCAGCTGAATGCAGTAGAGGACTCCGTTGCAGCAATGGGGAGCCCTTCTCCTTCCCTGAAGCTGATATGGGGGCCTCCGGGGACTGGCAAAACCAAGACCATCAGCACCATACTCTGGGCGATGCTGCTCAGGGGGCACCGGACGCTTACTTGTGCTCCGACCAACACCGCGGTGCTGGAGGTCGCGTCTCGAGTAGTCCAGCTTGTCCGGGAGTTCTCAAATGGCGGCAGCGGCGGCTGCTTCCTGAGTGACATCGTTCTGCTGGGAAACAATGAGAAGATGAAGGTAGAGGCCAGCCATGAGCTCTCTGCGGTGTTCCTTGACTGTCGCGTCGAGCGGCTTTCCCAATGCTTCTCGCCAAATGGAGGCTGGGGGCACTGCTTGCGTTCGCTGACGGATTTTCTTGCGGAGCCTGTGAGCAAATACCAGCTGTACACCGATAAAATTACCAAGGACCGTGAGGAGGAGGAGAAGAAGAGGAACATTTCATCAAATGTGCTAGATAAGAACAAAAATGTTGCAAGATGCAATAAAGGGAATGATCATGAAAAGGATAGATGCAATAACCAAGGAGACGAGCAAGTGTTTGTTACCCTGTCATTCAAGGATTTTGTGAGAGCCACTCACAAGGAACTCGCTCACAACTTGTGCCACTGCATCGAGACATTGCAGAATGATTTCCCAAGGGACCCTACGACGGCGCCGAATTTCTGGTGCATGTCCGATGTGGTAGAAGTAACAAGAGTTCTTGGTGCGTTGCTAGACGCCGGTGCCGGCGACAGACACGAGGCATGGGTGAGCGATGTCGGCGATGCCTGCAGCCCGTGCTCTGTGAGCAACGATCCTCCATGCAAGGAATGCAGATTCAGGAAAGCAAGGTCACTCTGTCTCGAACAACTGGAGTATCTGCGCAACAATCTGAAGCTCCCCGGCTACTGCGACAAGCGACCGATTGAAATCTACCTGCTCCAGAGAGCCAAGAGTATCCTGTGCACTGTTTCCACTTCTTTCAGGCTGTATAACGTACTGCCCACGGACAATCAGAAACCTGTTGGCGGGCAAGGACAACGGCAACACAAAGAGCCCGAGATCTTCCCCCCTCTGGAGTTGTTGGTCGTCGACGAAGCCGCACAGCTCAAGGAGTGTGAGGCCATGATCCCGCTGCAGCTGCCTTGTATAAGGCACGCTGTTTTCATCGGGGACGAGCGCCAGCTACCTGCTCTCGTCAAGAGCAAAGTATGATCTCTGAAGCCAGTTCACTTACTACTCCCTCCGTCCCATAATATAAGTCACTAACGCTCTTATATTATGGAACGGAGGGAGTAGTTAGTAGTTACTAGTACTAGAGTAGACTTGACCAATAAGACCCTTTGCTTGTGAAATGGTCGTTGCAGATATCCGAGAACGCCGATTTTGGAAGAAGCATCTTCGAGAGGCTGATCTCGCTAGGCTGCCGCAAGCACCTCCTGGACACCCAGTACAGGATGCATCCGGAGATAAGCAGGTTCCCTGTGTGGAGGTTTTATGACGGCAAGGTAGGTGACGGGGCCAACGTCGTCTCCAAGAGCCACCGGCGCCGGCTCTTGAGAGGCAACATGTTTGGGCCGTACTCATTCATCAACGTGCATGGGGGGCGCGAGAGCAGCGAGGAGCATAGCCGGAGCCCCAAAAACACCATCGAGATCGCCGTCGTCTCGCTGATAGTCGAGAGACTGTTCCGAGGTCTGTCGTATCTACAAGCAGACAATATAATGCTGGCCTTCGTTTGTGGCATAACTTTTTCTCTTTATTTCTGGACGCCACATCACAGAGTCGGCTTCTTCGGGAACAAGGCTATCCGTTGGCATCCTGTCGCCGTACAACGCTCAGGTGAGGGCGTTCCAGGAGAAGCTGGAGAAACCATACGGAAGCCGCGATGGTTTCTCTCTCAAGATAAAGTCCGTGGACGGGTTCCAGGGCGGGGAGGAAGATGTCATCATCATATCCACGGTGAGGAGCAACGAGGATGGCGCGGTCGGGTTCCTCAGGGACGCGAAGCGTACCAACGTGGCTCTCACAAGGGCCAAGTAAGCCAAGCATCAGTAACCTTGTGGTCATGTGTTCTTATATGTATACTACTATGAGTCTATGACTGCCTTGAATGAACTGGGTGGTTTCTTTTGGTCCGCAGGCATTGCTTGTGGGTGATTGGCAACGCGGCGACTCTGTCCAAGAACAGGTCCGTCTGGCAGGACATTGTGTACGACGCTCGGAGGCGACAGCGCTTTTTCCATGCCGACAGGGACAAGGGTCTGTCGGACGCAATGCAGGCGGCAGCTGTTGAGCTCGATGCCGCCGATAATCTGCGCAAGATGGGGTCCCTGCAGTGCGCGGCATAATCCCGAGGTACATATGGAATAAGTTCTCCGAAGCATGCTGTCGGCCTACGGTCGCAGGAGGCTGAAAGCTTCTTGTGGGTTTCCAAAGTTGGCTCGCAAAAAGGAGTGGAAACTAAGCTTGCGGTACTAACATCTTCAGATTACAGAGACCCAGGAGGAAGGAGTGTCGCTCGTTCGTGAGATGATTTGAAGTTCCGAAAGCGGACATCATATATGTTAGATGCGGCTCAAATTTGAAACCGTGCCTGAAGAAGAACGGTTTAACCGTTGTAAACGATCACTTTTATTCGTCGTGAATGAACGGCCATGCCTGCCTGCAAACTTGCATAGCCCTCGTGGAAAAGATGCCATGAATGTTTGCTTTGGGCAAAGCATCGGGCTAAAGCCGGGGGATGCCTTTGGCTGAAAGTTGTCGAGGTTGATCACGCGCGGGTCTTCAAAAGCTCTGTGTTTTGTCCAGGTTTGGTGCAGGTTTGGTCGTGGTGGGTTTTGGAAGAGCGTCAAGATGCAAAAAGATGGGGCCAGACTTGACGGCTCTGAACGAGCTTTGCAAAGGATCTCTGTCGTTCTCATGTCGTTTATTTTCTTGGATCTGATGTGCTTTAGTTCATTTTCATCAGTAAAGCCAGATCGTTTACTGATGAACACTTTGTTGGTAACACATATACTGTAATCCAAACCCATAAATAACAAGAAAATGGTAAAATTGTAGTAAGAAATGTTGTTTTTTGGATTGTTTGAAGACGCGAGTTGTGGCATCATTGCTACGGGCCAGGTAATAGCAGGAGGCAACTGTTTTTGTCAAATGGTTCCAAACAGCACAGGAAGCAAACACAGAAGAGACAGCGCAAGAGGCCATCCATTGCAATCAGACCGCCCACAACAGCAGCAGCAAGCAAGCAAATCCAAAACTCAAAATAACGTGGCAACACGGTGAAAACATCTCACTTTTACAGAGCATACAAGTACTATAGTACTACTACAGTATGTACTTACAAAATGACCATGGAAATTGCGTTGACAACATTACAAGTTGACCGGCGGAGGGGGGGAAGTTGGCAACCAACGGCACGCCCGCGGGCCATCATGGTCAAAATCGTCACACCGTCGTCACCTTTCCACCCGTAGTAGTCGTACTCGTACTAGTGCCCTCCCACTCGCACCCCACTCGCCAAAAGTCCACCCTTTCCTTCCCTCCCTCCCACGCCCGCCGCCCCGCCCTGCAACCACGCGCGCACGCCCAAACGCCCGCCCGCCATAAAGCCACCCTCTCGTCTCGGGCCTCGCCGCGCGCCCACCCACGCCCAACGCCCCTCCCCACGCCGACGCAATGCACCCCGTCGAGGAGGCTCGCCGCGGCGCGACCGGCGCTGCCGCGTAGGGTCTGGTCAGGTGGCGGCAGGCCGGTGGCGTCGCGGGAGGAAAGGGCCAGGACTGGCGGACCGGAGCCCCGCCGCCCATGCCGTGCGCGCGGGCCGAGGACGCGCTCCCCTCCGCCGCCGCCGACATGGTCTCCGCCTCCCTGATCCAGAAGGTGGCCGGCGGACGGAGGCCCCCCGAGCCAGGCCGCGCTCTGCAGCGCACGCCGCACGTGTCCGCGGGGGACGTCGGCGCGCCGGCGCCGGCGGCCAGCTGCTCCGGGGTAAGTTCCTGCTCCGCACTGCGAAGTCACGACCCACAGAAATCATCATACTCCTGCTATTTTTAAAAATTAAATTTAGATGTCCGGATTATTAGGAGCCATAGCGTGGTTGCGAAAAGCCTAGATTCTTGGTGGAGAAAGGCGAGATTTTAGCACCTAACGCCGCAAACCAGATCAAATCGCTGTCCCTTTGCGGGTGCCGTCGCGCCGAGGGCGCCGTACGGTGGGACAACGTCCTTGTCCCGGATGGACGAACTGCCCCACACTGTCCCCTCGCCTCGTCCGTCCCCCACTCCCGATTAAATCACCACCACAGGCTGTGCGGTCAACCGGCAATCTTGTTGCTTAGTGCTCACTTGACCTCTATCTCTAAGATTGGATGGATTAATAGCATTATCCTCTTGAACTTTATTGATAGCATTATCTTGACTGAATTGCTTTGGTTTGTTCTTGTTGTAGGATGATGGCAAGGGCAGTCGCAGCGGCAGGAGAGAGGAGAGCCGCAGAGGCAGGGCGCGGAGCTACCGGTCGGAGCTCGAGCAGGAAGTGTGTGATTACTCTTCTTCTCCATGGTTACATGTCGTTTTTCGACGGTTCGATGTATGTAACGTATGTCGGTGCCTGGATACGGCGTTTGTTCTTATCCGGTAAAATTCATGCAGGTTAAGAAACTGCAGAGGCAGCTCGAGAAAGAGATCGAGTTGCACGTGGCGTTGGCGGACGCTGTCACGCAGAACGCGCCGCCGCCTGCATTGAATTCTTCTGCCAAGATCCCACCTGAGGTGCAGCAGCTATTTATACTACATTGTCATTTACTAGAAAGTCAATGTGCATTCACTAATCTTGCTTTAACCTTCCATCCATTATGTAGACACAGGAGCTACTAGTTAACATTGCCTCCCTGGAGGGTGCCGTTTCGAACCTCGAAAAGGAGTTAAATGATCTGTATTACCAGCTTTGTCATGAAAGGAATGAACGGCTACTTGCCGAAAATAACCCAGGAGGCTTGCCATCTGCGTCCTCAGATGACCGCTCGCTGTCAACTTGCACGTGTACATGGGAAGAAGTAAGTTTTTATCTGGCAATATCTAAGGGTGCATTATTCCTGATAAAGGAGAGTTATTGACGGTTTCTTGATTGTATTTCTCATCAGCACATATCATCGTTGAGGGATTTGAAGTTCGGTGGATCCGAGTCAATGAGATCAATGCAACAAGATTTACTCACAGAACTTGAATATGACCCGGATATTGGAGAAGAGTCCGAAGATAGACAAATGGTTTCCCTAAATAGGCTGCTCGAGAAACACCAAGATATCTCTTTAAACGGACTGTTGGAAAAGCACCGGGACGAAGAGGTCATTTTCATGCTTATGCATAACAGCCTATTCGTGTACTTCTCATACATATTCTTAGTATATCGAAGCTTAATTGTTTCTGCAGATGCAAGGATCGTGCTCGGTGGGAAATCAAGGCAAAGAAGATGAAAAGATCGATGATTTATCATTTGAACAGTCCATTCAAAAGTTAACTAGCATGAAAGGAGGAAATCTTTGGAACTACCCAAATCAGCTATCAGAGGAGATGGTGCGCTGCATGAGAAACATTTTCCTCCGTTTATCTGAATCCTCCAAGATATCTGGGAAGGCATCTTCTGATTGTTCATCTTCCTCAGCGGAGCGCCTATCTGGTTCTACATTGGCATCCTTCTCAGATTCATCCATATTACCCTCAATGCTACGGAGCTCTTCGGTTGACTCCTATCACAACGATGAGATGATGAATAAAGCAAGAAACTTTGACCCGTATAAAGTTAATGGAAAGGGAACCCGTAGAGACATCGGAAACTACTGTTCAGCAGCTGAAGTATCTTGGATGTCAGTTGGAAAGGAGCAACTTGAATATGCATCTGAAGCTCTAAAAAAGTTCAGGTTTGCTGCTACAACCTTGGCCAAAGTTAACAACAATCCTACTTTAGACATTTTAAGTACTTACAAATATCACTACTTATTTATGGAACAATGGATTTTAATTCATATATGTGGAACTGTTAACATCGGATCAACATTTCTAATTGCAGTGCCCTAATCGAAAAATCTACAAATAACTGAACTGAGGGAAGAATAGGATACTCGATGTAATCTTTAGTTTCTGGAAACAATCGCACTAAGTTTTTTTTTTCTTTAAAAATCGAGCTGCTTATCATCATTTAGCACCATAAGGTATCCTTGTCAGCATGTTATCTGCTTATATCTGAATGTGTTTGCTAACAAACTTTTGCATCCCCATTTCTTTGGTTGATCATCCATCTATAACATAAATCTTAGGAATAAAAGAATCTCGATGCATGAAAGCATCTTTTTCGCGACAAATTTTCCTAATTGGTGTTATCCCTGCCCATAAGCCCATTATTCTGGAGCAAGTTTTACTTCTTACTCCCTCTGTAAAGAAATATAAGAACGTTTAGACCACTATATTTAGTAATTCGTGTATCATTCTCATTGGTTTGCAGATTTCTTGTGGAGCAGCTATCAAAAGTTAACCCTAATTGTTTGAACTCTGATGAGCGGCTAGCCTTTTGGATTAACTTGTATAATGCGCTGATAATGCATGTAAGTACGAGTTGTTAATTACAAGGCTGGTTTGCAGGCATGGATTGTATTTCAAAATAATTTATACATTTCCCTGATTCTATATATCTACTTTGATATTCCATATTTAATGGAAAAATAAGATCACTCAGTTCTGTTATATTTCCATTCCAAATCTTTCTTTACAAAAAGCCTTAATTTTCAACTCTCTATGACATGCATGTTGAGCCTCGTGCACTAACAATTCTGTATTGGCATCTACCAGTCATACCTAGCATACGGAGTTCCCCGGAATGACATCAAGCTTTTCTCTCTAATGCAAAAGGTTTGTCGAGTCTCTGTTTCCAGTTGAACAAATACATTCCATCTTTCTTCAGTGAGGCAGTCGGTTAAAGTGAGTTGGTGATGCAGGCCTGTTACACAGTTGGTGGCCAGTCGTTCAGTGCAGCTGAAATAGAGTATGTGATACTAAAGATGAAGACTCCAGTGCACCGGCCCCAACTTGTATAACTCTTTTCTTAATCCATTTTGTTTGCCCCTAGTTTTGTTATAACACCTCTTATTGTTCTCCCTACCCGTTTGTAGTCTTTGATGTTGGCTCTTCAGAAGTTCAAAATTTCTGAGGGGCACAAGAAGTACTCGATCGATCAAGCTGAGCCCCTTCTGCTGTTTGGTCTCAGTTGTGGAATGTTCTCTTCACCAGCTGTAAGTACATGAAGAGACTGTCATAATTTCCTGGAAATACGCGTATATTGCTCTTCCATTCTATATAAAGAAGAAAACCTAGCCTGTTATGCAATGCTTGTTTGTTCAAACCTTGCTCCCTTTTAACGTACTATCTAGGATATTTGAACATGTGCACTGCCATAACCAATTATAAGAATCATAAAGTATAATCTATCTTTCCCTCTGTGTGTATATTCTAATATTCATGTTATTGAGGTGATGATCTGCTGTCATACAGGTAAGAATCTTCACGGCAGCAAACGTCAGGAACGAGCTTCTGGAGTCATTGAGAGACTACATCCAAGCTTCCGTCGGCATAAGTGACCGAGGGAAACTACTGATCCCAAAGCTACTGCAGAGTTACGCCAAGGGGGCCGTCGAAGACTCCCTGTTCACGGACTGGATCTGCCATCACCTCTCACCTGAACAAGTAGCAGCCATCCGAGAGTATTCCTCTCAGAGGAGGCAGCGGCTTCTCGGGGCACGCAGTTTCACCGTGGTCGCGTTTGACTCGAAATTCCGGTACCTGTTCTTGCCTGACAGCAGTGGCTCCCAGAAGCCACAACACAGAACGGGCTCCCTAGGCTGATCCTGCCAGCTGGTATGTTTGGGCCACAGAATTCATTCTTTGCAGACTGGAAAATGTGATGGCTAGTTGTATATGGTGTACATTTTTGGGGAGGAAATTATACAACACAGCAGAGCTCAGAAACCGCTTCGGCGAAGATATTTCATTTGCGAAGTTGGATTATCTCTACCAAGATAACGGCGAAAGGAAGATGTTTTGGATCTCATGGTGTTTGGCGCTGCGTTTCATACCGGGGATACCGTTTTGGTCTTTCTTTTCTCAAATATATACTTTTCTCTTTTGTAAAGGTGTTTTTGTCTGGGTTGATTGGTTTGTAAGTTGCGCACTAATAAATTGGGTGGTGCCATATATTGTGAGAGGGTTCTGTTTTTTGCACTGAAATCTAGCCACATAGCTGGGATGAAATTGTTGCGGATGTGCCGATATTTAGATTCATGCAGGGCATAAACAACATTACATAAATCATGTTTAGAGATTTACAATGTCAACAATTTGTGAATTGGATGTTGATTTGAAACTTAAATTGGATGTACTTTTTTAGAACAAATATATACATGTTGTTTACATATATCCAATACAAATATTTACGAATGTGTAAAATTGTTTGAACAATCATCCGAATCTCTCGCTGTCATTCCAGCCTGATGCTGGTGGTAACTCCTATATCCAAGGACGCAAAGCTAAAGAACCACCTGAATCATTACCATGTGCTGTCAAGGTTAATTTGTATAAATAGATTTCCTCTTGCGAGATGAGCAACGACAAATGCCTCCATACTATAATTATGTAGACTCAGAAGAAGTGCAATTTTTTTTTAATGGTGAGAGTGCAAGGTGACTTCTTCATTAGTCTTGCATTCCAGCAGCTCCCTCTCTTCTTATTCTGCCACAGCAGCTCCCTCCCTTCTTAGTCTGCCTCCGGACAGACGGCTTAATATCGCCGCGAATGCCCTGAGTTTCACATCTTCATCTGGATCGTCGAAGGCTCTAAAGAACATAAATACACCAGCGAAGGAATAATCAGTCCACGAGCAACCAGCGACGGCATGTTACTGTTGTCACAAGAATATGATTCCATTACACTCTACAGAAATCGCAGCTTCCAGCTGCAAAAGACATCTACGTGTAACTGAAAATGAATGAAGCTTTAGTGAGAGTTGAGAGGCCACAGTTCTCATACAGCAGATCACAGAAGTTGTCAGCATAGATATGCCAGAGCCCGTCCGAACAGGTCCAGATGCCAGGCCAGAAGTCAGCTAGGAAAACCATATTGGCAACTTAACATGCAAATCAAAATAATCTAGCAAGAAAAAGAACAGAACAAGCTATTTCTGAAAGCGCATCGGCCATGTTTGCATTGCAGTATTGACCAGATACTAATTCTGCAACTGTAACAGCTTGGTTTGCACTCCACTGTAGACTGTCTTATATCTGTGTGAACGTATCAGTTCTTTTGCATTGCAAGTGAAACACCAAATTCCAGTCTTAAATTGCCCGACAACTTCCTTGAAGAACAAGACAAATACGTCTGACAAAATTACAATTTTCCCTTTGCCTCGTGAGATAAATGCTGAAAATTCTGGAATTGAAGTAAAAATAAATAAGGGTACAATGCACTCTATGTGTACAGAAATATAAACAGTTCTCACTTCCATGTGTACATAAATATAAACAGCAAAGGCCACAACACAAGTTTGCTTTACAAATAGCTAGCAAACAGAGACTGGAAGACACAACAAGCAGTGATGCATCCTAGAATAGCTACCTTGCTAGCTTCTCGTGATTTTACCTCTATTTTCAGTCAACAGGAATTATGGAAAGGAGAAAATAGAACAGGAAGCCAAGGTAATGATACTTCAAAGAAGCCAAGGTAATGATGGAGCTCATAGCCTACACGCCAAGAACCCCAAAATGTTGTCATTGGTAACCTACATACAGAACTGCAGATTTACATAGCAAGAGTAACAATGCAAGTATATCATCATTATGAAATATTGGAGAAATACAACCATCTGTCATCACTTAAACAATCAGATCGCATCTTTATGTAGGCATTCGTCATCCCAAACTCACACATGCTGTTGATTCAGTAGTACCTTTTTTTCAGTTGGCGATGTCAAGCAAACAGTTGACAATTGAAATTGGACTCCGGTAAGAGTTTAAGGGGGACCACTGTAGATCTTCTTTCAATAAAAAAGAACAGGTTGTAAATTAGTTAACAATAATAAATCAGATGCTAAATGTGACTCCTAGATAAACCTCCTCCACATCAGCTCTGTTTAAACTTGAACATTCAGTTTCTTAGAGATAAACACTAAATGAACAAACAGCCACTACAACAGATAGGCTGATAGGCTACATCCTCGCCATAACGGACTTGACAACATTCAGTATTCTCGAGTACTCGTAGAACAGAGCAGATTGCTCGCCCTGTAAACCATCACGGTGGTGACGGTTGCTGCCAGTAAGATTGTTGCATGGGCTGCCTCCAATTATCAAGTCAAAACCACCCAATCTTCTAGTTAATGACTCGATTGTATCATTAGTGAGAGTCTCCACGTCTGGAATCTCAATCAGACTGCCACCCGTTTGATTCTGATTCCACCAACCTCTGAAAATCCTCCTGTTCACTTCAGAAATCTCAACAGAAACCACTGTCTTCATGTGGACCCCAAGCTTGTGCAGAGCTACTTCTCCTCCTCCAATACCAGTGAATAAGGACAACACATTTATACCATCAGGAAACATGTCCCTCAACACTGACAAGTGATAAGCAACTGTATCCACTTGAAATGAGTTGCCAAGAGCTTTGTACCTCTCCATCTTGCAGACTCCCCTCGTGTGGTCTCTTGGGAAACCAAGTAGATACTCCATCTCATGAGGCTCCAAAGGTGCAACCTTGTTCTTTCCAATCCACACAAGATTCCATTTCCTGCATTCATCTGTGACATACTTCTGAACACTTGGAGATGGTAGACTGCCTGAGCTTGCAAGAGCATACTCGATCCGTTCTGTCAGCTTTGCACTTGCCACACTCGTCAGCAGGCAGTTTAGCTGCCTTCTTGGGTCCCAGGAAGGCCACCACTTCTCATAATCAGGGAATGCCTTAAATATATTCTTTGGGGGGAGGGGAAGGAGAGGTGACCTGTTATCAATTGGTAGATTGTGTATATAACCTCGTTTCCTGGCAGCTGCACAAAGGTACTTAGAATCCACAAATTCTGGTTCGACGTCATACAAGGTTCTTGAAATAGTTCTCCATACGCCTCTAGGGGCTAAGGCCACATTCTCATAATAAAAGAAGGGGGGTCCAACAGCTTGCTCTGAAAGCCTTCTCTTAACTGACCATAGCCTGTCACTAGGCAGATTAAACCCGACCATTGGATTTGGAAGGGGCATTGGGTCGTCCTGGCTACCATCAAAAGGAGGTTGATTTCCTTGTGCTTCACCTCCATATCGTTTCCTCTTCTTATTGCTCTCTTCCACGAATCTCACTTTCTTTCTCTGTCCAAAGGAATCAATGAAGCTGTCCGTAGCCTGCAAAATTACACAAATCAGTGTCCTCGCATCGAACTAGAAGGAGATCTGCATCTTCGTCGCGCAAATGTGTTCCCAGGGCTACGAGTTAAAGGTCATTTATTTGTCTAAAGATTTCTTGTGGTAACAGTCCTTGTTCTTTTCCGGTATTGTGTAGCATGCAAGCGTAAATGGTTCTCTAATGGGCCTTCCTTTGTTTGCTGGGTGCTAACTTCCAGCCGAAAATATCTGTGTGGTGAAGAAGATGGGTGTCGACTGACAGATGGGGCCAAAAAGGGGAGAATTCTGAGCAGCATAAGGTTTGTACATTAAAAGAGAAAAACAGTTTTTTTATTCACATTTAGAGTAAAACCACAAGGCACCTCGTGGTCAGATGAATTTCTAAGATGACAATCTCCTGCTGACTGTGATGCATAGATCAGAGTCAACTAATACAGAGAGAGAGAGGCATCTATACCTAAGAGTAAACAAAAATAAACATAAGGTGCCTTCCCCATCAAACCATGCTAGTCAAATCAACATTTCAAGAGAGGCGTTACTACATCTGGTGATAACCATATTTGCTTTATCTTCAGGTTAATTTAATTCGATTGCATGATTGCACATCAGAGTGGCTCAAGTTATCGATTGCATGATTGCACATCAGAGTGGCTCAAGTTATCGATTCCAGGATTGCACTAATTAGCTAATTGCATCGCAACAAGACTCCATATTACTGAGATATGTCAACTCTTATTTGGTGCTGATCTTAAATTAGTGGGACAATGCTGGCTGAATGAAAAAAAATCCAAAACTTATTTCTTGATAGTGACAGTGACGTCTCTGTCTCAGATATCATGTTGGCTGTTTCACTTGTACTCCCTCCGTCCGGAAATACTTGTCTTCAAACTGAATAAAAAGGGGTGTATCTAGATGCATTTTAGTTCTAGATACATCTCTTTTTATCAATTTTGATGACAAGTATTTTCGGACGGAGGGAGTACCAACGACTACTTAAAAAATTCAACAAGACAAATATTTCACATATATCATCATTATATATACAATCATACTAAATTATCAAGCTGGAGATACAGAATCATCTACCTCATCATCAGAACGATCAGAGTCGGGCTCTCTCCCAGCAGCATCATTGTTGCCATCCCAATTCTCGGAATCAAGATCGTCGTCGTCGCGGTCATCTTCAATGCTCTGGGGGGCGCAGCCAGACGTAGAGCAGTCACCCACCAAACTCGAAAGCGCCGCCATGCCCCTGCGCGGCGCGCACACGACAGGGGGATGCGCCAGGACGCGTGGGGATACGCGTATCCCTGAGTATCTCTTGTTCTGTGATTTAATACAAGAAACGAAAGAATTCGGGATGCGGCAGGGATACTTGGCAAACACGGCCGCGATACGGGCGCGGAGGGGGACGGCGACGGTGGCCGCTGGCGAGGAAGAAGGTGCAGGCGAGGGGGGAGGTGGTAAGGCAGCCGCCGGCGAGAAAGAAGCTCCGGGAAGGGCGGAAGATGGGCACTGTGGCCGCCGGCGAGGAAGAAGATTCGGGCGGAGAGGAAGATGGCGACGGAGGCCGCGGACGAGCAAGGAGGGGAGGCGGCGGAGCGGTGGCCTCATCTCCCTGTCCTGCGGCACTCCGGCGGCTGGAGCAAGGTAGGGCAGAGCACGGGACTGGGAGCGGCTGGGGGAGCTGAGTTAGGGCCCGTTGCTTGGCCCTCCGGCGGCTGGAGCAAAGTCGCGGCGCGAGATCGGGGAGGTGGGAGGAGTATGGCCGCGACGAGGTGAGCGGTGGCGGCCGGGCGGCGCGAGCGGAGGGCGGCTTAGGGGTTTCGCGAGGGCGGCGGTGGAGCACGGGGAAGACAGGGCAAGGGCCTAAAATTAGAAGAGATGATTTTCCATGGGGTTTTGTGAAAAATATTGACTAGGGTCAGCGAAGGTAAAATGTGATGAACCACTTTGTTTAAACGGTAAAATTGGAACTTAGATATCCGTTTTTGTTTACCCTCATATTAGCTTTGTTTAAAATCATTTTTTACAAAATTTTCATCAAGTTTGTAAAAAAAAAACATACACACCATCAAATTAATACCATTGGTTCATCATTGAAATATTGTCACATTATATAAATTTGTTATTGTAAATGTTTATATTGTTGTCTATAAACTTGATCAAATGTTACAAGGTTTGACTTGGGGCAAAGCTAATATATAAAGTAAATAAATAAAAACAAAGGGAGCATGCTTTTTTCAAAGATTTAAATGGACTCCATCCAAGGTGCATGTGGTCTAAGACCTTTGGCTTGGTGTCATGGTCTATATCTGTTTCAATATGATGTGTGCTAGGGTCTTTGGTCAGTGTTGGAATGAGTGGATCATCATGCAAGAGCAGAGCTCTACCAACTGAGTTATATCCCCCCCCCCTCGCAAGTGAAGTATGCATGAAAGAGTCAGATACTTTTTCTATTCTTTCCCCTGTGGCAGACATAGCTCATCCATACATGTGAATCTAGGTAAACATCCAAATTTTGTTTATTAGAGCATCTCGCGCCCCCCAACATGTCCCCAAGGCCCTTTTTTGTCGCCGGCACCGAAAAATCGGCTCAGTCGCGCCCCAGAAGCCCATATTTCGCCGGCTCGGGCCGATTTTGGTGTCGGCGCACCCAGGCCGAACCCGACGCACTGGGGGGGCACCCGGGGGCGCCGGGGGAAACATTTTTTGGCCCGAAATGAAATGGGCCCGCCGAGTCAGCGACTCGCCGTCTTCGTCGTCCTCATCGCCTCGGTTCCCACGGGAATCAATGCCAAGGCTGCCGCGCCGGTCAGCCTTCCATTGATGCCTCATGGGCGACGCAGTGAAAACGCAGGGGACACGCGTCCCGCCACGCGGCACATGGCGGTAGCCCTCTTGCTGGTGTCAAAATCGGCAGATCTCGGGTAGGGGGCCCAAGTTGTATGTCTACAGATTGATTGTAACAATAGCCAAAAGGACACAATGTTTACCCAGGTTCGGGCCCTCTTGAAAGTGCAACTATCCCTGGGTGGTTTTGGTAATTCCTAATAACATATAGCTCATTGAGCTAATACTATTTCAAGATAAATATTTCAGAAAAGCTCAATGATTGGCATGGGATGGATGAGAAAAGTGGACCCCTCAAAATATTAAGGACAAAATGATTGGCTCAAGCTCAAAGCACAAGACTCTACATTTTCTATTTTAGTGATCCAAGATCACATTGAGTCTATAGGAAAAGCCAATACTATCAAGGAGGGATGAGGTGTTGCTTAATGAGGTTCTTGCTCAAAGTGCTTAGTGATATGCTCCAAAGCCCTCAACTACTTTCTCACATCCACAAATGACCTAAGCCAAAAGTCAAACTCGGCCCCACCGATTCTTTCTATCCGGCGCCACCGAGTTCAGATGTCATAGCCACTGCCACAAACCCTAGTCAAATCGGTCTCACCGATAGGGATCTCGGTCTCACCTAGATGGGATTGTAATCTCTCTGTTTCCCTTCGTAACATTTCGGTCCAACCGAGATGAGCGATCGGTCTCACCGAGATTGCAATGTAAACTCTCTGTTTCCCTTTTGTAACATTTCGGTCTCACCGAGATGAGCGAATTGGTCCCACCGAGTTTGCCTGACCAACTCTCTGGTTAGCTTATTACCAAAATCGGTCCCACCGAGTTTGTGTAATCGGTCTCACCAATATTACGTTATGCCCTAACCCTAACCATATCGGTCCCACCGATTTGACATGTCGGTCCCAGCGAAATGCCTAACGGTCACATTATTTGCTACATCGGTCTGACCGAGTTTTAGGATTCGGTCCCACCGAGATTGGTAAGTTGTGTGTAACGGTTAGATTTTGTGTGGAGGCTATATATACCCCTCGACCCACTCTTCATTCGCGGAGAGAGATCCATCAGAACATGCCTACACTTCCAACTTACATTTTCTGAGAGAGAACCACCTACACTTGTGTTGAGGTCAAGATATTCCAATCCTACCATATGAATCTTGATCTCTAGCCTTCCCCAAGTTGCTTTCCACTCAAATCTTATTTCCACCAAATCCAAATCCTGTGAGAGAGAGTTGAGTGTTGGGGAGACTATCATTTGAAGCACAAGAGCAAGGAGTTCATCATCAACACACCATTTGTTACTTCTTGGAGAGTGGTGTCTCCTAGATTGGCTAGGTGTCACTTGGGATCCTCCGACAAGATTGTGGAGTTAAACCAAGGAGTTTGTCCGGGCAAGGAGATCACCTACTTCGTGAAGATCTACCCCTAGTGAGGCAAGTCCTTCATGGGCGACGGCCATGGTGGGATAGACAAGGTTGCTTCTTCGTGGACCCTTCGTGGGTGGAGCCCTCCGTGGACTCGCGCAGCCGTTACCCTTTGTGGGTTGAAGTCTCCATCAACGTGGATGTACGATAGCACCACCTATCGGAACCATGGCTCAAAAATCTCCGTGTCTCCAATTGTGTTTGCCTACTTAAACTCCTCCCCTTTACCTTCATATGCAATTGTCTTACATCCGCTGCTATACTCTAGAATTGCATGTGTAGGTTGATTGCTTGACTTGTGCTAAGTTGCTAAAATCTGCCAAGAATTAATATTGGGAAAAGGCAAGTTTTTTATTTGGTCAAGTAGTCTAATCACCCCCTCTAGACATACTTTTGATCCTACAAGTGGTATCAGAGCTTTGGTATCCATTTGCTTTGATTTCCATAGCTTTTGGTAGTCATAGCCTTGGTTTCACAACCTAGGAGAGTATGGCGTCTAGCGAGGGAAATTATCACCGTAGAGGTCCTTACTTTGATGATACTAATTTTGCTAGTTGGAAGCATATGATGAAAATGCATATTCTTGGACATAACCCCGCCGTATGGGCTATTATGTGTATTGGCTTGCAAGGTGAATTCTTTGATGGGAGAGAATCGAACCGTGAAGCTAGCACGGAAGAGTTGAAGATGCTGCAATATAATGCTCAAGCTTGCGATATCCTCTTCAACGGATTGTGCCCCGAAGAATTCAACAAAATCAGCCATCTTGAGAATGCAAAGGAAATTTGGGACACTTTGATTGACATGCACAAAGGTACCGTCCGTCAAGGAATTCAAATTGGATGTGCTTCAAAGTCAACTTGACAAGTTCAAGATGAAGGATGGAGAAGGCGTCGCTGAAATGTACTCTAGGCTTGCTCTCATCACAAATGAGATTGCCAGCTTAGGAAGTGAAGAGGTGACCGACAAATTCATCATCAAGAAGATCCTAAGAGCCTTGGATAGAAAATATGATACCGTGTGCACATTGATCCAAATGATGCCCAATTACAAGAATCTCAAGCCAACGGAGGTCATTGGAAGAATTGTTGCTCATGAGATGTCACTCAAGGATAAGGAAGAGCTTCAGAACAAGTCAAGTGGTGCTTACAAAGCCTCATGTGAAGCTCCCACATCATCAAGTGAGAAACAAACCTTCAATGAAGAATTGAGCCTAATGGTGAAGAACTTCAACAAGTTCTACAAGAATAGAAGCAAGGAAAGAAGTTCCAAGTCAAGTTCCTACAATGATAAAAGATCTTCTAGTCGAGAGTGTAATTGCTACAATTGTGGAAGACCCGGACACTATTCCAATGAGTGTACAGCTCCCTACAAAAGAAGAGAAGAATCTCCAAAGAGAAGAAGTAGAAGAGAAGAATCACCACCAAGAGAGAGAAGGAGTAGAGATGATCGTTATGAACGAAGAACATCCCGGAGAAGCAAGGATTCAGAAAGGAAGGATAAATCATCAAAGAGCTACACAAAGCGAAGACATCAAGCTCACGTTGGTGAATGGGTATCCGGCTCTGACTCCGACCATCACTCCGAGAGAAGCTATCACTCCGACTCAGAACATACTCAAGATGAAGGTGTTGCCGGTCTAGCACTTGTGTCAACCAACTCCTACGACATATTTGACTCACCAAATGAAGGACTTGGAAGATGCTTCATGGCTAAAGGCCCAAAGGTATTACACCCCGAGTATGTTGATTTCAATAGTGATGAAGATGACTTGCTAGGTGATGATGATTTACTTGTTGACAACTCTAGTGATGAATACTATGATGAAACGCCAAATAATCATGCTAATCAAGATAAAACGAATGACAATGATAAGGAGAAGATTGAGCTCCTAACTAAAGAACTAAACACTCTTAAGTTAGCTCATGAAACTATCTTAGGAGATCATCAAGAACTTTTAAGGACTCATGAGAAATTACGCTTTGAAAAGCTCAACCTTGAGAAAGAACATGAGTTTTTAAAGGCTATCAACGATGTCTTCGCAAGAAAAGTTCTTCTTACATTGCCAAGCATTTACTCTTATCTACTTACATGCCTCAAGTCAAGTCCAGTAACAAGAACAAGAAAGATTCTTTCTCTAGTAGTAACAACAATTATCATGCTAAATCCAATGTTGTTGCTTCTAGTAGTTTTCTTGATTCCACTAACAATTCTCTTAGCCAAGTTACACTTGAGCAAGAAAATAGCTTATTGAAGGGAATTATAGAGAAAGGTGTTTACAAAAGCCTTGCCGGGAGTAAGCAATTCGAGGAAATTGTACGCAAGCAAGGAA